GAAAGCAAAAGGATAACAGTCCAGTTCGCCTATTCACAGAAGCTGGACAAATGCTGCAAGGAGAAGAAGAAAAGGAAAACTTAGCAAGTGTCAGGAAGAAAATCTATCAAAGACATGAAAACAAGTTAGAAGAAGTGTGGAACGATAGGGCGAAGCTAACCTATACTGCAGATCTGGAGAAAGAGAACCAGGACCAGATACAAATAAAAGGATATAGTTTCCCAATCACACTGAGAGAACATATGGATATGGCCATGAACAGTAGGAAGAGGATGAAGAAGATGGAAGATATACAAATAACTGAGGAAGAAGTCACCAAATGTATAGGCAGGCTTAAGAACAAGTCAGCGGCAGGACCAGATGAACTCAAGCCAGAACTATACAAAGCTTTGATAAAAAATGACAAATGCTTGAAGATACTGACAGGCTGCTACCAAGAAGTCCTCGAGAGAAGTGACACGCCATCAGAATGGAAGATATCAAGGACGAAAATGATACCAAAGACGTCTAAGCCAACTGCCAAAGACTTGAGACCAATTGCTTTAACGAATGTGTCATATAAGATCTACATGTCAATTCTAAAACAGCGACTAGAAGATCATCTAGAAAGCGCAGAGCAAAAGTTAGAGACACAAGCAGGGTTTACGAGAGGAGGAAGGATAGAGGACAACCTTTTCCTATTACAGTACTGTGTGGAAGAAAGCTTTAAAATGAAGGCACCTCTGATTGTTACTTCAATTGATTACAGCAAGGCGTTTGATTCCATCGATAGAGCTAGGATGGTAGAGGTGCTCATGAAATACAAGATTCACCCCAAAATGATTGATGCTGTGGCAGCCACATACCAAGGAGACAGAACCTGGATTGAACTAAATGAGAACATTAAGTTAGAGATTTTAGTAACAAGTGGTATACGGCAAGGGTGTACAGGATCAACTGCCTTCTTCAAGCTCATGACTTATATCATCACAAAAGTAATGGAGGCAACAGAAGCAGGGTTCAGAAGCTGCAAATTTACGCTGCCAATCCTATTCTTTGCTGACGACGGGCTCCTACTGAACCATTCTATTGAAGAAACAGAGACTAGCATCAGAAGACTGACAGCAATTAGCAAGGAGTGTGGACTAGACATAAACAAGAATAAGAGCAACATTATCACATTTAATCTGAAAGAACAGCACAGAAGCATAGAAGATATTGAAGTAAAAGAAAACATAAAATACTTAGGTCTGAAAGTAACAAATACAAGGGATGTGTTCAGAGGGCAGAAAAGAATCATGATTGAAAAGGCACAAAGAATGGCAAACATGACCTATTCAGTAATTTCAAAATCATGCAACAGACTGCTGATTGGTAAGACCTACTGGAAATCCCTAGCACTGCCATCAATACTGTACGGCTCCAGTGTCATGACAGTCACAGAGGAAGAGACCAAGAAGCTGCAAGTAATCGAAAATGGTGTCTACAGACAGATCTTGGGGGCTCCAAAATATGCACCAAATGCTGCATTGAGAGGAGAAATTGGAGCATCTCTGATGACAACAAGGATTAAAACTGGAAGACTTCAGTACATGAGAAGCATATTGCAAGGAAAAAATCAACTACTCAAAGAGGTGTTAACAGAAATGATGGACGAGGGCAAGAACAAATGGATAAAGGTAACCTATTCCATTATTAAGGAAGTCGGACTCAAAGTAAAGGATTTGTATCAGATAAGCAAACAAGACCTTAAAACACACATGCAAAAATGGGATGGAAAGAAATGGAAGGAGGAATTGTTAACTAAAACTACTCTGTCCCTGTATATTGTCTGGAAAAAGGAGATGAAGGAAGTAACGTTTATTGACAACCAGCAAGCATCAACAATATTTTTCCAGGCAAGAGCTAACTGTCTTCCTCTAAATGAGCGCAAGAGATACAAGAAAGAGGACACAAGATGTATGATGTGCAATGCAGAAAATGAAGACCTCGCCCACTTTATATTGAATTGCCCAGCCTACGAAGAAGAAAGAAAAGAATCAATGCATCTTCAGAAACCCTATGCAAAGGATATTTTAGGGATATTTCTGTTTGAGGAGGAAGATATCGAAGAAAAGAAAGAAGTATTGCTTAAGCTGTGGAAGAAAAGAAGACTGCTGGAAATAAAACAAAGTTCTCCATCCTAGTTGACCTTCATCCTCCCAACACCCAATCCTGTCCCCTAGTGAGAATCCTAGCCACACAAACCAACCATAACAATGCAACCCATCGATCAAAGTAAAAGTTAAAGATTAAGAAATCAAGGAGGTGCCGATACAAAGGCTAAACCTCCGAAAACCATCGCATCGCATCGCATCGCATCGCCATGGCTCGGCGGCCGCCGGCCCGGCCTGCCGCGGACCGATGGGCCGATATCAGGCCGGCGTGCCGGCCAGTCATCGCCGTCCCGCTGTGCCCGGAGGCCGCGCGGCGCCCGACCAGCCGCGCCTTTGTTCGGACGGGAAGACGCTCAGCTCGGGTGGAAAGTTTGACCGGCCCGGGGAGAGGGCCGTCACTGGATGGATCGCTCTCGACAGATGACAGCTGCGGCCGATGGGTACAGGGAACTGGGTGCTGGATACCGCCTGGATACTAGACTATAGTCGGCTCAGAACGGGCAGAAACTGCGTTTAGTCCTTCCAAGCTGTCTGTCCTGTCGATCCGTCCCGTCTCGTTCATCATTTCCCGTCCATTTCGTCCGCGCCGTCCGCCGGTCCGTCCGCCCGCCCTTCTGCCCGTCCGCCCTGTCCTAATGTCCTATCCACCTATCCCTTCCGTCTTTTCTACCCCACATTTCCCGCTTTTATTGCGCGACTTCCACACATCTGCAGCTCGTTTGCACGTTGACACCGGTGCGTGGCGACACGAGCCAGCCGTTGGCTCGGAGAGGAGGGACAGGTACGATGATCCGGGCTTCAGTTGGCTGCCGGCACCTGTCCAGCCTGTCACCGGTTTGCCGCCGCTGTGTCGCAATTAACGGCAAGGTCCGGACGGGATTTCGGTGATCAGCGCCGCGTAGAGGACGCGTGTAACGACTTAATCCCTGGCGACTGCTGTGATTTGCGACAGGGTTCTATCCGGTTAGCAACCGACCAAGTTCACGACTCACCAGTAGGCATCTCTACCTTATCTCTATCCAGTGGCGGCGGAGCACCTTCCATTAAGGGCCGGGGGGGGGGGGGGGGGACACTGCCGACTTTCGGTCCCATTCTTTCCATGCAAAGCCCATAGGGCCAATGTTAAACTGCCAAAATCAAAGGGGGCACGGTGCCCCGGTGCCCCCCTCGTTCCGCCGCCTATGTCTCTATCCTTCATATCCACGGCATCTCTCTACTGGTGATCTAGGTATCTCTATCCTTCATACCTGCACGGACGACGAAGCCCCGAGCTCAGATATCGGACTCTGTGGGTCGCCTGCTTCATTGTTGCTCCGATACTCGCGTTAAAGCGATTAGCTAAAAGCCGATCACGACACCGCGCCGCTGGCTTTGTATAAGCCGGCCTCTGAGCGGCAATTTGACCGTGTCAGGGACTGTGTCGCACCAAATCAGTCTTGTTGCTGTGTGGCCCGTCTGGTGATAGTTCCACACATAGGAATCGACGGACGCTGTCCCAGCCACTAACTGCAGTCCATTCCAGTCGGCCGAGCCGCTACTGAGAGAGCGACCGCCCATGTGGTTAGCATAAGGCCTGGATGCACCACCCTTCACGAACCGGGCAGACCACAGGGGCGTTACGTGACCGCGAGTGTCGGCGGGGGTCACTGGGGTCACCCTCAGGCCGCCAGAGGTCAGCCGCGCTCACCGAGCCGACGATCCGACCGTCCGCACTGAGCCGTACAGACGTGTCTGAAAGGTCCGGCGACCTTTTGACCCCACTGCGCCTCAGGCGTCCAATAGCCGAGCCGGGTAAACAGGGAGCTCTGACGGGGCAGCTCTGGGCGGGGCGAGCCGGGTGATGACAGGTTGACGGCTCGATTGACAGGAGCTAGCACCCGACAGCTATCATTGCGGCCGGACCTCCTGCCTCAGGGCGGAGATGAAAGCTTGATTGACCGGTACATCTCGACTGGTGTGCCGGTACGCCGCTGGGCGCCGCTCAAACCTGGCACCGACCCGGGCGTCATACTAGCAGTCGGGAGAGCGCTGATATGAGTTCGAGAGTGGCTAGACCACGGGCGACCGGCCGGGTCAGGCAGCCCGAGCCGTGCCCGCGCGCACCGAGCCCTCGTTACCTTGCCTGTCTGTACTGTCAGCAGGGGTCGACCATGGAGCAGAATTCGCCGTCGGTCGTTGGTGCAATTATGTATGAGCCAGCACGGCGCTCACCGTGAAAGTGGCCGGTGTAACTGCTGCGCACGGCCCCGCCGGGACGTCGTTAGTATAGTCTCGGCCGCCATAAAATCTCCCGCACCGTCTGCAGTAGAAACATGCGCAGAGATAAAACCGAGTCCCAAAGGACCAAGGAGGGTATTCGGGGCGTGGAGAGAGGTTTGTCGGTCCTGAGTTTGTGGCTGTCTTGGTCTTGATCGTTTTTCGCACGTTCGAGTGGTCTGTTGGGATGCGAGGTGGGCTTTGGGACAGAAGTTTCTCGCGGACAGGTAAAGCGGGCGCTCCAGACTGACGTTCGTTACCGGCAGTGTAGCGGCGCCGTTTATAGAGTCGGGGTCCGAATATATTGCTGTGATTCGTGACCCAGACATGGCCCAGAAACGTGCGCCCACTTTCCCGTGGCTGGTCGTTTTTATCCGCTCGGAGCGCCGCACGGGATCATTTGTAATGCTAACAGCGTCGTGAACGTTACAATGAGTTTATGAAGGTGTTTGTGGCTCGCCTAGCTGTGCTACATGTCCCACTCCGCGTGGATGCCCGATGTCCCATGTGTTTGTGCCACTTTCCGGCTAATCGTGTTTCCCCTGTACCGTTGTCCCTGAAGGTGTGAAGTGTTGGCTGCCTGTAACCATTGCCGCCTCTCCGTTCCAGTGTCGGCGGGAGCTCCAGCACAGACTGCTCACCGTGCTGTGTCACCAATGGCGGCCCCGGAGCGGCGTGCGGCACCGGCCGTGCGCCCTCTTCTGCTTCTACTGCTGACGGTTCTACCGGCGACGGCAGACTTCACAACCTCCTGCCCAGACGCCTGCAAATGTATGTGGGTGTCGGGCAAACGGCAGGCCGACTGCACGGACATCGGGCTGACGTCGGTTCCGCGCGGTCTCAGCTCGGATATCCAGGTGCTGGACCTGTCCGGCACGGCCATCCAGGAGCTGCCCAAGGACGTCTTCCGTCAGGTGGGGCTGGAGCACCTGCAGAAACTCTATATCCGCCGCTCCCGGCTGTCGAGTGTGCACCCGCACGCGTTCCGCGGCCTGGGGCTGCTCATCGAACTGGACCTGTCCGACAATGTGATCGAGAAACTGCCGCCGGACGCGTTCGCCGACAATGACAAGCTGCGACAGCTGCTGCTGGCCGGTAACCCGCTGGGCTCGCTGCCGGCGTTCCAGTTTCCCCCGCTGCCACACCTGCAGAGGCTCGATCTTAGTCGCTGCCGCATCGCTGGTCTGGCCGCCAAGACGTTCGCCAACCTGCCTGAGCTGGAGAAGCTCAACTTGCACTCGAACGAGCTGTCAGTACTCGAGAGTGACGCGCTACAGTCGCTGTCGCAGCTCAAGTGGCTGACTCTTCACAACAACCCGTGGCGGTGCGACTGCCACCTGCGTCTGCTACGAGACTGGCTCCTGGAGCGGTCGCTCTACCAGGAGGACACGCGCTGTGCCGAGCCCGAGCGGCTGGCCTCTCGCAGCTGGAGTGGCGTCCGATCGGACGAGTTCGCCTGCCGACCGCAGATCCAAATACCCGAGCCGCATGTGGTGGCAGAGGTCGGCCAGAACGTGACACTGCGCTGCCAGATATCTGGCAACCCGGCTCCGACCACCAACTGGGTGATGAGCGGTCGCATCATCAGCAACAACACCCGCATCCCCTTCACCGGCCAGTCTTACGTGATCCACGAGCAGGGTACCGTGGACCGATGGACCTCGCTCACAGTGACCAACGTCAACACGCAGGACGCCGGCCAGTACCTCTGCGTGGGCGTCAACCCGGGCGGCGTGGTGGAACGCAACGTTACGCTGACGTTCGCTGGTGGCGCGGTACCAGGTCCTGTGCCTGGCACTGATACGACGATCGGCGGTGGAGGCGGCGGAGAGGGCGGTATGCTGAGTCGGCCGCTGCTGCTCGGTATCGTCGTGGGTGGTGTGGCGCTGCTGCTGTTACTGCTGATGATTACACTCGTCTGTTGCTACTGCCGCGGCCGGCGGCACGGCGGGAAGGGAGCGCCGGACGAGCTGCCGTCCGACATGACGGCGCCCGTCACTGAGCACAAGCCGGACCGGATCGGTGACTACGAGAAGGTGCCGCAGACGGACATTGAGATGGAGCGGGTGCGCCGTCCGGCCGGGCTGGCCCACCCGCCGCCGCGCCGCGCCGGCTCCTACTCTGTCGATGACGAGCGCAGTCGGCGCTACAGCCTGCCCGACTCGCCGATGACATGGGACGGGCGTCGGGCGCGCGACTACCCGGACCTCCTGCCGCGCCGGGCGGGCCGCAGCTCCCCGGCGGGCAGCTCCACCGGCTCCGTACAGCCCGAACAGGCCTACCTACTGGCCGGCCCGCAGCCGCGGCTGGCGCCGGCACCGGCGGCTCGCGGCGTGAGGCCCGGCTACGTGACGCTGCCGCGGCCGCGCCGCCAGAGAACCCCCAGCTGGGGAAGCACTGCGAGCCGAGGCGGCGGAGGAGTGGCCAACGAGCCCATTTACGACACTCTGGGACCGCGCACTACTGCGGATGGCAGCTCACGGCTGAGTCTGAGCGCCGCCGGACCGGACACGCTACCGCCGTACTATGTGGCAGTGGAGGGTCCGCCCCCGCCGCGCGGCCCGGCTCGCTCGCACAACGCCAGTGCCGACCTGATCGAGCCCGTGCAGGAGGAGCCGGAGGAATGGGAGGAGACTCCTCCTCAGCCGCTGTCCAGCACGCTGCCGCTGGGCCTTGCCGACGCGGCCAGCACACCATCCCCTCCGAGCCGTGTCGAGCCGGTGGGCATCCTGCCACCACCCAGCCGCTTCGAGCCGGGCAACCTGCAGCGCAAAGTGACGCCGCCGGTACCGCCCAAACCCAAGAAGATCACGCCGCCCGTGATGCCCAAGCCGGTGCTGAACGGTACCCGGGTGATGGCGTTCCAGGATGAGAGCGAGGACGGCACAGAGGTGTGATTGACCCCGGGACTCGCTGCTTGAATGTGATAGACGTCGTGTGGGGCGGGCCGCCGTGAGCCGGGCGGCGATATGCTCTGGACACGGCCTGCCCGACCGATCTCGTTGGATGTCGCTCGTCGACCTCTGAGCTTCCGCAGTCGCCGAGCTGAGCTGCCGGAGAGCGGCCAAAGAGCTGTCTCCGTGGTGATGAACCCGTGACCACCGACCGGCGGCGTCTGGTCAGAGACTCGCGGCTGTAAGAGCGTGTTCCTAGCGACTGACGGCGTAGGCGCCGCGCGTCGACCTCGTCAGTGTACTTATGGGGAGTATATGTTGTCATTGTATGCGATTTACATTTGTTGTCAATACCCAGTGCTGTTATATTCTTTATTATTGAGTTTGCCGGACGTATACAGTCACAATTGTGTGGATCATGTGTCTTGTGCGCCGCCGAACCTTTACGGTTTCACTTAGCTGCTGGATGACTGGGAAGAGTCTATGACCTCTGTGGCGAGGACGCCCATTAGGCGACCCGTGTCGGGGTCACCCGAGGTCACCGCCGGTCAACAGGGTGGCCACCTTTTCCGGCCTCACCTGCGCTGAATACCGAGACGAGCTGAAGAGGTCAGCGCTACATCAATCGCCCTTCTTGCGACGCGCAAAAACGGCAGATTGTTTACATTGTTGGACGCATTTATACTCTGGCCGCGGATGGCTTTTTGTTAGTTGTCTGGCGTGCGGCGATCGTGTGGCCGTCGCGTGTCGCTTGTGCGCCGCGCGGCCCACAGCGAGCCTGCTGAACCGCTGCGCTAGATGTGTCATATACCGCATCCATATTTTTGTGAATACATCGTGCATTTTACAGAGCACTTAGGCGTTTCTGAAGGTTTTTCTATTACACTATTTTAGCCTAGCGTTGTAGTCTACTGTAGTGGACCAATGTAAACAGAACTTTCAGAATCGCGAACGCCGTCTCAAACGTCTGGCTCACGTGAAAGATGCTGTGCTAATTCAGAAGTTTTAATAAGTCGCAGAAAAACGTTTGAAGACCGTTTGGACTTTTCCGCGGAGTGACTTTACATTTAGTCTCAGCATATTTAGCTAATTAGTGTCGTTCCCCGAGCATTCCATACTTCAAAATGTGCAGTTGTCATGCTTCAATAGGTTCGAAAGAGTGCAGCTGCGATATCAAGCATTTCCTCGAGCAGCCAGGCCGTCCGCGGCGACCGCCACATCACCGCCTGCCGTTCACCTTCTGCCGGCCCGTGAGCTGCTCTTCCCGGCGCGACCTGTTTGCGCATGGTCCGCCGCCACGTGACCCCACAAAAACGCCTCTCGCTCCGGCGCGTTGCCCTGTATTGGTGCCTCGTCACACTACCCGCTCGCTCGTGCAGACTGCAGATCACCGGTCGGCTCACTAGCGCCCCTGGCGGACGCGCGCCGAGGCTTCGACAACGGCCGGTCACTGAACCAACATAGGGTGGGCCGGCGAGCGCAGAGACCAATTTGGCACACAACAAACCCGGCGCGCGCAATGTACCGCCCAGCAGATCAAACCTAAAACAACCAGAAACGCCTCTGGAATGTACATAACATACAGACTCAGCAGATAAAACAATGCGCGCGCTAGCATGAATAAAAATTACGCACGGCTGCGGTTAAAGGGGTACAAAATGCCCGCAGCACCACTGTTCAGTTGTCAACCCAGGATCTAAGAGCTAAGATCAGCCGCATGGTCGCAGTCTGTGTTTATCGTGCCCCCCCCCCCCCCCGCTCTCATCTGATACAGACACGCTCGCCATCACGCACCATACACATCGCGTCACAGAGGCGTTGTACTCGGGCGGACGTCGCCTATGGACAACAGAGTGGTCGGCCGCGGCCGCTCGAGCCGCTAGTCCGTCAGTGTGGAGCCGCTCTCCGAGCCCGTCACAGGGGCGCCGGAGTCGGCAGAGGTGGCCGGGCCAGTGCCCTCAGAGCTGGAAGAGACGCAAGATAGCTTACTACATGACTGACCCCAACGATGCACTGAAGTTACTCTTGCAACAGTGTTAACTAGTCATCTTACTGCCAGTAGAAAAGCGTACCTAATCAAGATACATCACCACGGTAGCACATTAAATGAATAAATCGATCACTTTTTATCGTAGGGCTCACGCTAAATTGTGCCAGTCCTTGGATCAAGCTAAATGCATTTGATGTGACGGAAAGTGGGACTCATCTTGGCACCTATAATCACTTTCTCTGGTCTCATCTTCTTGGAGGGTTCGTTTTGCTGCTTTAGGGCATTGGAGAGGCTCACCTGACGTCCATTCTGGGACTGTCCGGGCCGGCGGGGCCGCTCTGCGCCGACGAAACCGCACCTGAGCCGCCATCAGACGAGGCACTGCAACAGAGACGAGGAGCCTGGTCAGACACCGATATACACGCGAGTCCGGTCAGACACTGTAACATACTACCGGGATCCCTATCAGACACTGACCAGACTCCAGGAAACCCGTCAGACACTATCAAACTACGCGGACCGGGTAAGACACTAACATCCCTCGTTCGGAAACTACAGACCCATGAAGCCCGGCCAAGCCCCCGTCAAACCCCGCCAGACACAGACCCCATTCTGGCCGCTCTGTTTCAGCTCTATCGTCTCTCACCTCTGCTGCGGTGTCAGTCGGTCCGAGACGGCCCCGCTGGGGTCGGCTGACGAATCTGTGTCGGGACGCGGCGGGGAGGTCACCATGGGCACCGAACCAACAGCGCTGCCTGAAACACCGGCACCCACGGACACGGGTTACAGTCGCCTGTGTTCCTTACGGCATACAGGAATATAGGACGGTCATGACCACGGTCATGGCCGGCTGGTTTACTTACGGCATATGGGGATAGAAAGACACAAACTGCCATGAGTTCTACACAGACCGGTCGGCGACCATGACACATAATACTACCAGTGTCTCTCACGCAAGCCATTCGTTTCCCCTCGAATCTGAAGCGACACGACTTAGTCCTCTGTGTCCAAGACAGTCCCTCAAGCTCACCGAAAGCGTCGCCACTGTTGAAATCCACCGGGAAGTGAGGTGATCCACTGCCAGGCGGCCGCGGAGGCGCCACGCCGGGCGACGACTGAGAGTCGGGACTGACACCTACGAAACAGAGCGAAGGTCACAGACGGCAGGTGCAGACAGGGAAGCCATTAACACGGACGCAGGCTTTACGGTTACGGGAGGCACGTGCAAGGAAAGCCGGGCGGCAAGTAGAGGGCATAACACGCTAAAATAAAATGGTGTCTGCAAGAAACTATCCTATGCCATCATCCAACTCAACCTGGAAATTCTACGAAGTAGCTCAGTCTGCCCAGCTCAGCACGCAAGAATATCAGACTGGACACCAGGTTACTCAAAATTCTCCCCCACAAAAGGCCCTTAGTCATACCTCACACCACACTCAGCTCCACACTGCAACCGTACCAAGCACGGTATCCCATCATCTCCCCACCTGACTCACCCTGCAGTGCGGCGGCCGGCGGCGGTAGCAGCGGCGGCGACGGCGGCCGCGCGCTCGGAGCCGAGAACGCGTCAAAGTTGGCCCAGTCGCGCTCGGCGCTGAGGTCGGCCGCCGGCGCCGACTGCCACACGTTGGCCTCGGTGGACGAGGGGGGAGAGGTGGCCCACGGGTCACTACTATCGGCGGCGCCGGACGAGGCTCCCCAGGGGTCGCCGGCGTCGGCGGCGGCCGGCGCGGACGCCCACGGGTCGCTGGTGTCCACCTCCATCCGGAGTCGGCCGTCCTCTCCCTCCTCCTCGTCCTCATCTTCGTCACTGCTGGAGCTGGAGACGCCGTGGGACGGCCAGCCGGCCGAGCCCACCGGGCCACCCAAACCGCCCAGCCGCTCGGCGCAGTGCTGCTCGAACAGCTCAGAGGCGCCGGGCCGGGACTCGGCCTCCGCCGCCAGGGAGAGCAGGCCGGCGGCGCCCAGCGGGCCCAGGCCCGAGCTGCGGGGACGAGAGTACGGTCAGAAGGGTACTTCTGCACTGCACCGTGAATTTGTGCACTGCACCACAAGGAAACGCTCAGAGTATTTAACTATGGTAGTTACATGCTGCTCAACAGCCGCACATCAAGCAGCACCGTGCGAAATGATAACTTTACACCGACCGGCCAGCCGGTAGCAGCCGGCGGAAATGCAGTTACACTGCACTGGCTGGATACGATATGAATCATCCAGACAGGACTATCCTCGCCCTACAGCTGTTCGGTTCCACGCTCAGTTGTGCAATTCAACACATCGTACCTAACCGTATCCACTGTGTGCCCCGTGCACACACGTAGCCAACAGTGCGGTGTTCTGCGTGTTGCCTCAATTGATCGTGTTAACCCTCCTGATCCTGAGCACCAGACACTGACCTGAGATCCCGAAACTCGTCATCTGCGCGACCGAACGCGTCCGGCAGACCACCCGATGAGCTGTCGCCCATGGCCTGTAGGAAACAGAAACGTACGAAATGGTATCAGCAAGTGCTCAAGGACAGCTTATGTCCGCCGTGAGTTTATCATAAAGCAGAGACGGATCCTAAACATTACGCTGCATACATATTTCAGGGCAGAATGTAGGCTCACCAAAAGTAAACAACTCACGCCAGATTGACGATGTGTACAGGGTTGACCGTGAGTCAATTGACTTTCAGAACACCAGAGTCGTACCGTACCTTCATGAGCGCGGCTGTGAACTGTTGTGACTCGGAGACTCCACGGAAGTCGGAGTCACTGCTCGAGTCGTGCCTCTGGTCCGGCATCACCACCGGCTGAAACGAAGAGACTCGGTGAGGACAGGACCGACAGCTGACAATGTGGACACATGCACCATCCATCGGGCAGCGAGCTGGGGGCTGGAGACCCGTTTCCTGCCGTCTATTGAGCCAAGCTACATAACAGACCCCGGGCTAACCGATTCCTGAGTACAGAGTCCGGCTGTCCGCGTGGCGAGCAAACATCAGTCAGCATTCACATTATACAGCCCTCCCCTCCCGACTGCCATCCCGTCCAACACCACAGCCGAGTTCAAACCTACCCATTCGATCCCCACACAGCGACCCTTTAATCCCTTTCCTCCCCGCGGCGTCCGACTAACCCTATTGAGTTCGTTGATGCGCGGCAGCTGAGTGTCTGTGAAGGAGTGCCACCCGGACCGCACGTGTTCAGGCAGCTGGTCAATGAGTCGTCGCAGTAGCTCGCTGTTCGGTCCCGAGTCCATGGCGGCCACGACCTTGTTGGCCATGCTGATGAGGTGGCCGCCGTAACCGCGCAGCGACCGCCAGCACCTGAGTGGGACGGCATAGAGGGAGTGAGGGGAAATCAGACAGAGTGAGCAAAAGATGCAGACAGGGAGGAGCTAAGATGGTGCATTTGAAATGCTGTCATGATAGCCACTCTACAACGATATGCTGTTGAAAAATGCATGAAGCAAGTACTCAGTCATAACCGATACCCCAAATAGCAGCTCGGTTCGTTTAATAACAGAATGCAGGCAGGCAGCATACCACAGCGCTGTGAACCAGTGACACTGTAATATGTCAATGCTTACCGGTTCTCATCACACTTCTCTGTGGTTGCATCTTTCTCCTCCATTCCTTGCAGGATTCTCTGAATAAGCCTCGAGGTGGTAAATAGCTGAGAAAGAAACGAATGAATCAGACACACTGAGTCAAAACATTTTTTAGCAAAAAAAAAAAAAGAGAGAGAAAATTACCGCATTCAAAGAAGGCTGCACCAAGAACCTTGCTGATTCAGCACTACGAACGCAAGTTACCTCTAGTTTGATATCACAAATGCACGCAGATACCTGTTCGAGCAGCGGATGGGAGCTGGCATCCTCAGTCTCCTGC